AATATTCGGTAATATTCGGTGATGTGATATTTTCAAATAAATGGGTATGATCAACCAGCCCTTTTGGTTTTTTTTTTACTTCCCCAAGCAGACGCAAAATTTATGCTCGACTGACTCTGAGCATTAAATTCTACATCCGCGCTCTTCGGACTCTTTTTTGTTTCTACTTCAAGTGTTGGCCATTCTTCTTCATTAAGACGCGTAGGTGTGCTTTTGGTGGAAATTTTAGGCCATTCACTTTCTTCTACTTTCTGAAACGTAAAATCGTTTTTTGATTCCTTTTTATTGAATTGTTGGTCCGAAAAGTCACTGTTAAAATTTGGTGAAGCGGTTGCGCGAATCACTTCATTAGTCACAACACTTGGAGCTTTCCCTTTATCAATTTTCTCAATAATATGATTCCCTTTACCATTCATCATATTCGATTGGTATCCCTCATTTTCATTTTCATCAACTATCTCTGTGATTTTTTCTCTCGGATTAACATTTTCTATCGGATTATCTGAATAATATGTTGTTGGTTCAGTCGAAGAACCCCAGCGATTTCCATTCCATTCGAACTGCCGAGAGGATGATGTTTGTCCAAGTGATTGATGCTGTGAGTGATCTATGCTTTCGTCGGCGGTTATCCCTAATTCTTCCCATCCACCCAAATCATAATGCGTATTCATACCGTTCCATGAAGGTGAAAAATCAATAAGTGAATTTGCAGATCGATCAGAAAAAGCACTCGATGGACGTGTTATCTCTTCATCGTTAGTCGGTAATATGCGCGAATCTGCTTCAATCAACATAGGTTCAGGTGACATAGAACGTGATTTTACGTTTTGCTGTTGTAATTCTCGAGCTGATGAGCTCGGTTCTGAATATGCTTGAGGTGATGTACTTTCTCGGTTTTGTTCGGAATAAACAGGGGAAGATGTATTTTGTTCAAAAACAAATTGTCTTTCAAACTGTTGTTCCTTTGATATTTTGTTTTGCTCGTTTTCATAATTCTCACTAATTTCATGTTTATCAAAGACATCATCAGTAGCAACGTTTGTAATCCTTGGTTGAATCGATGATGTTGACTCCAAATGATTAGAAGAAAGTTGGCTTGGAAAGCTTTCTCGCTCGGAATCTGTAGAGTTTCGATGCAAATTAGATAGTTTAACATTAATCGACGACCATCCGATCTGCTTTCTTTCAATGACGACGGGCTGAGATGAACTGCTGCTTATTGATGATATGGTATGACGACGACTTATATTTGGTATGGATTCATTTAACGAGTTTTCGTAAAAATCTTTGGACGTGCGGTGTGAAGAATCTCGAGAACCCGTGTGTGAATGTTCATGTTTATGGTTGGGTGAAGAATATGATTGTTCATGGTTAATGTTACTCACAGACTTGATTGAATTATGTGATGATTCTTGACGCATTTTGTGTGGGTGAACAGATGCGCCTTGGGTGCTATGAACGAAATCCTCTCCGATTGCTGAAGTTGAAGTTGATGAACGGTCACTACCAAGAACTTTTTTTACTGCTCTATTCAATACATCAGTGGATAAACCTAATTCGATAGCCAACGCATTTATCTGAATTTCAGAAAGGTTATGCATATCTTGAAAAGAATTAATCTCATTAGATAATTTTTTGTCATGCTGATGTTGGACTGATTCTGAATGTGAATTTTGATTATATTGAGCCAATTTCTTCAAATTATCGCCCTCGATAGTACATCTACCGGTAAAATCGTCGGAACCAGAATAGTGTTCAGTAGAGAACTGATAGACAAATGACTCCGATATTGATGGCATCTTGCAAAATGCAATTCTTACAAGTTTAAAAGTATTAGAAACGAACCAACGCACTCCTGCTGGATCAAAAGATCCACATGATTCGACAAACAATTGACCAAGTGTGTAACCTGCTTTGTTCGCCAAAATTCTTAAGCAATTATCAGTAATATTACGACACCCTATTAAATTGACTGTGCGTAAATTTTCAGAGTTTTCAGCAATGCTATCTATCGACCGGTCTGTCACGAACGGGCATTTAGAAAGTCCAAATATTTCCAAATGCTTGCAATTATTTGAAAGAATATTAATCAGATCGTCGTCTACTGATAAGTTCTCAAGTAATATTGTACGCAATTTCTGTCCAAGTGGCGTAACCCATTTGATAGTATGAGACATTTCTTTCAAACACCTCAAGTCCAGATGACGCAAATCTTCTAACGAAGAAATAATAGCTTGAAAAGACCTAATGGATAATTTATCACCGGATAGCAACAATGTCTGTAAGCTAGAATTATTACGTACAAAATGTTCGATGTTTTCATCTGACATTTGCGGACAATTTTGTAGCACTAATTCCTTCAGACGCGTCAATTTTCCAGCTAAAATATCGAATCCACGCACGGACATCATGTCTGTACAAAGCTTGAGTGAAGTTAGTTGAGAACATTTGGTCGCCAATGTCTCAGCAAAATTATCCGAGAAGACAAAAACTCCATCCAGATCGAGGACACGAAGGTGAGGAATACAATTTATAAGCGAATAGACAGTGAATTGAGTGAGATTCTGATTTCCTACTACGCGAAATTCTTCGAGTCCCGGACAATACTGAATTAAAGATTGTATATGATTATCACTAAGATTCCATCCGTACACCTTAATACTTTTTAAATTCTCACATGATCGAACTAAGTTCATGATAGAATTTGGTTTTGATAACACATAAGTACACATCTTTTGATGCTCTTGACGTTCTGACTTCAAAACAGGTGCAAAAAAGTTTACGAGCTCATCCTCTGGTGCACATAAATCTAATACGCGAACTCTAAGAGCACATGACCTTGATTGTCTAACAGAACGGCAAAAAGAGTGAAAAGAGTCTGGCGTATTAAATATGGGTTCTGACCATAAGATTTCTGTAGCTGCGGGGGTCCATCTTTTGTTGACAAGGCAAAAGTTGAAGCGGTCGTGTTGGACGTCTAGGTATTGCGCTATACGTTTTATAATTTTACTTGGCAGCGTTAACGCGAAGTGAGTAGGAAAATCGTCCAAGTCGTTTTGCCAATAATCATTTTCAGAATAATTTGACATTATCACAAAATGGTAGGTGAATAAGAAAAACAAAAAAAAAAAAGAAAAACAAAAAAAAAAAAAAAAACAAACAAAAAAAAGCGATACGTTGATCGTGGCAATATTTTTAAGATCTTGATAAAAAAAAAAATAGGCGGAATTGGTACTTTCGAAAGGCGATGTGATGGAATAATTACAAGTTAATGGCAAGTAATAACAAGTAGGGAAAAAAAAAAAACCAAAAGGGCTGGTTGATCATACCCATTTATTTGAAAATATCACATCACCGAATATTACCGAATATT